CTCCTTCATCTTCAACTCCACGGGGTTAATAGGTATAGCGCACGTGAAGAAGCGCCTTAACCCGCGACTCCTGTTTTTCGTCAGTCTTGGCTTCTCTGATATCTTCGTCAGTCTCAGCACGCTCCTCCACATCGTGAGCCGCGTGGTGAACCCTCCGATACTGACCAGTGTCTACGCCATGTGCTCTTGGCTGGTGGTCCGAGGCCTCATCTGTACCGCTAACGTTATATCACTCCTCAACCTGTTTGGGATGGCCATCATCCACTTTCTGGCCATCAAGAAACCCCTCAGATACCGGACCTCCATCACCACCACGCACGCCAAGTGGATGCTGGGGATATTCTGGCTGTTCTCGTTCCTGGTGGGGTACTCAGACCTGCTCATTGGCTTGGTGGACTACCACGTAAAGGACGACACCACAGATAATTACTGTCAGCACACCATTTTTAACCATTTCCATTCCCAACAGATAATGTTCGCGATAGCGTTTGTTTGTTTCGTTGTGATGGCGTACCTGTACGGGAGGATATTTCATCAGATGAAGGTGCACAGGTCGTTTGCACGTGAAGACGACACCCTGTTTCATTCTCAAGGTCACTGTTGGCCTCTGCAGCACACGTATCGTAACAACCGCAAGGCAATACGAACCACCTTGCTCATCTTCGGCACCTTCTTCGTGTGCTGGATGCCGTTGACTATGTTTGAGCTCGTTATGCTGATTCGAGCCAAGCAGGGGCTAATAGACAGCGAGTCTGTGCCTACCTTACTCATCGCGGGCGAGTACCTTCATGACGTCTTGCTGCTCAACTCAGTCTGTGATCCGGCCATCTACATCATGAGGGTGCGAGACGTCCGCGCTGGCTTCGAGCGCTTTAAGAGACGCTGCTGCCGGTGTTTAAGCCACATCTGGTGGCTGTTGGTGACAGTTGGAAACACGCGGTCAGACCCCCCTGTGGCACTGTCCGCCCTGAACACAGACAGGTCGTCCAGTAATAATCTCCGTGTTCCACACGAACTCATAGAGTCTCTATAGGGATAACATGATAGCGTGATCTGCGGGAAGGGTTGGTTAACCCGGTTGTAGCAAAATCAAGCCAAAGTAAGCAGGAAAGGGCGTGGATCACAAGGAAGAATAGTCCTATTCTGGTGCGAAGGACTTTCACTTGCGCAAAAGAAGTGCAAATGATAAATTCTTGGCTATATGGAATTTCAAGCTCAATGGTGGTGTATTGTTTGGAAGAGGTCGGGCTACAAGCGGCCTACTTTCGCTTTTAGGCTTCGGTTGTGAAATGATCAACTTTTCATTTCTAAACGTATCGGAGAAAATATTGAATAACATTTTAATTCAATAAATGGAACTGCTACTAGGAAAACAAGGTACATAAATGTTTTTTTCAATCATTGCCGTATTTGAGAAAAATCCAGTACATATATGCCTATTGTTATTATGCACGATTAGTTCTGTATTTGCGTTTCACCTGTAATTTATTATACATATTGCTCATTTTGTGATATCCATCGTAAAAGCATGGTGAAAACAATGGTGCTATGTCAGTCGCTTTAATTGTTTTATACAAAGTCATATTTTGTATACAAAGTGAATTTATAAAAAATACTGTCTTATTGAGTTTTGTTATTAGATGTTTATTATTCATATATAAAAATATTAAACATATTTGATAGAATATTATTCAGTCAAAATCACTATTATTGTCGTATATATGTTGTATGAAATGTATTCACTCGATGCGGGCACTGACAACGCCCATGTGGTCGAAAGTAAAAGACATCTGGTGTGGATGCCCGCGGTAGATGTACCCTAAGAATACATGTCGATTATGTCTTCTATCCCATTGAAGAACTACACAACGTCCTCACCAACACAGTTATGGCAGTTCTTTACCAAATATCAGGTAAAAAAACAACTCGCCAGTCCGGGGAATCATCTACAGTATGTAAAATAATCAACGTGGACCACTTTGTATCATTTGGTGGAACCATTAAATGGCGGCAGGAGTTGGGTGGTACCGGCGGGCGAGAGGTGCATGATGGGTAAAGGTAGCTTTTCAACTCCCCGATCCCCCCCAAAACACACATACACACAGACACACACACACACACACACACACACACCTACCCCCCCACCCCCCACCCCCGCATCCGCCAGTATGAAGGGTGGGGTGATACACATAGGGTAACGGACAGAATTGCCACCCCTGATTGTAACGTGACGGAGAGTCCCCCATAACAGAGAGTCCGCTTCCCAGTCATTTGTACAGGTAAGCCTCGCCCTAGATTTTGACCCACTTAGGTCAATCTAACTCTAACCATTATAAATATATGGACGGCGGACTTTCTGTTACACGGAGCCTCAGTTTCGTTACACCGGGTCAGTATAGAACAGTGACCGACTCAATCTGCTCACGTCAGTAGCTCTAACCGAAAAGTCGTTGGAGCAGCCCTCATTGTTCTGGCGCAGCAACGCATCAAAAAAGCAGCCCTCATTGTTCTGGCGCAGCAACGCATCAGAAAGCTTCAATTTCACGATGGACGACAAATGATGAACGCAGGCGGAGAACGTTGTAGAAAACGTGTCATAATGATTTCCAACATGCAGGAACGCGGAGACAACGTGTCATAAGGACGGTCAAAATGATGAACAACATGCAGGAACGTTTCAGACAACGTGTCACAGTTGTTCAGACAGAATGAAAGATGGTTAAAAACCTCAGATGTCAGCAGTTTCCGGGGAGTTTCCAAGAACGGGACATGTAAGGGTAGAGATAAAATTGATATTTTCTTTTCCAATTTTAAGCGAGGGGACAGGAAAGTGCAAATGCACCAGATATAACGAGAATTTCTTGGTAACAAGGGCCTTTCGACACTTTCAATTCATTCTATTCTGATATCAAATTATCCATATTTATTTCTCAAATTCGATACCTTTTATCCATATATTTAAATAGTCAATTAAAACTATAAAACATGATTTCTTTCGTAGAATACGTTTTAGTCAACAACGTTTGTAAAGATGATTGTGCCTATTATCCAAAGAAGCCTGCCTTAACAACAAACTGCAAAATTGAAGTCAAATAAAAATATCCTTTCGCACTTTGGAACAGAAGTAAAGCAAAATAGGTGCAAAATCGATTACTTTCGTTGAAGTTATTCGAAAATTGATGTTCACAGAAGCCTGTCTTATTAGCATAATAAACCACTCAGCAAATTTGATGTAAAACAAAAATACGGTTTGGCATTTAGGGGGCGAACATCATCAATGAACATACAAAAAATCACAAAAATTCTACACCTCTCGTAAAAGTAAGTCGTTCATGCTGATTTTCGAAGCTGTCGTTTTACCACAACGGAACAAAAACCACTCAGAAAAGCAAAAGTGAAATAAATATTTGTTTGGCAATTGTTGAGTGAAAAAATTTCGAAAGTGTCGTTTTAGCAACAAACGGAACAAAACCACTCAGAAAATCAAAAGTAAAATATATAAAGCTTCGTTTGGCAATTATTGGGTGAACAATTTCGAAACTGTCGTTTTGCCAAACAAACAAAACAAAACCACCCAGAAATTCAAAAGTAAAATAAAGATTCGTTTGGCAAATATTTGGTGAACAACAAGTGTGTCGGACGTTGACGTACGCGTGATCAGAATGTATGCACCACACACTGTGTTTAATCACAAATGACTAATTACACACATTGAATGACAGATTGCACTAATCACTCATGATAAGCATGATGTTTGCTAGTACTATCGCCAACGGTCACGTTCTTACAACTATCTAATGCTTTGACTTTCAAACAAATCAATCAATAAAATGCAATGTTTCGCTGTCAAGAACGTATTTGGAAAACAAAGAAAATCGTCAGTTTTTCTGTGGAATCGAATTCGTTTTTTTTTCTGTGATAGCAGTGCGCTAAAATGAACCCAGTGACTCCAAGTAAAAGGTTGTTATTTCACATCCAATTACAATACCGACATGCGTGTTCTACAAAATGTTCGTGTAATCCGCATATGATGAAGCCAAACCGCTCACGGTAGTGCTTACTTGACGGTTATACAATAATGGAGCGTGCAGCCATATCGTACTGCATGGCACATACAAGAAATCACTGTGCACGTACCAATAGCAATGCGTGTATATAAGATGTTGAATACAAAGGCAGAACTGCAAGATTTCAGGTGATAAAATAAAGCATGATCTACAGCAAGAATATCATGCCATAAACTCTGATCAAGATGTGTTGATTTCTATAGACTCACCAATGGTGTTCTTAAACATATTCAATTGCCCTACGACGCATCGCTTTGGCAACCAAGTTTTAAATCAAGTTTAAATATGACGAAATAGTGAAACAGAAAAAATCTAGGGCTGTATTACAGACTGTAGTGCACTTGTTATATAGGAGAGGGAGGGAGGGAGGAAAGGAAGTAGGAGAGAGAGAGAGAGAGAGACAGACAGACAGACAGACAGAACACTCCTCCAGGCCCCCCATTCACATGCCCATGTACAATGGTGCACAAACGCCCGAACCCAATATAGCGGTGCAAATAAAGTCACAGGCATGCTCTTCAAAATATTGAGTGCAAAGATTGCAAGTATGATTGTTTATTCTAGGGTCCCACTTGATGAAGTTCGTATTAGAGTTTCACTCTTCTGGAACCATGAATAATAAAAAAAAAACATACGTTACTGTCACAAATGCATAACGTCCAGCTGTGGAAACGTATTGCTCACTTTGAAAATTCAATCATCGATGGTTTTGTTCTTTGATTTATCTCTTTTAAGTATAACCTTGTAAAAATTATGATTATCTTCTGTATAGAGGAGTTAATTGTTTTTGGCGGCTTAAATTTGCGTGTCACTGAATATTAAAAAAGGGGGATACACCCTACTGAAAGTAAAATAAACATTGAATAAGGTATTTTCTACTCCTGGTCCAAATGTTGTTTCAGAAATGACAAACTGTCATGGAATCACAATATATATTTTCAGTCAGCAACAGAAAAGCATGTTTTCTATTGCACTAATTGCTTGGGTAAGATGAATTTTTTTTTGGGGG